TTGGTACTGCTGCGCTAGGTGCTTGTGAGGCTGCTGCTCTAGGTGCCAGTGCGTCTGCGCTCTCAGGTACTGGTGAGACTGCGCTCTCAGGTACTGCGTCGTCCTCGTCCTCCCTCACTTTCACACTTGACTCCGGAGCTTCTCGCTCCTTCTTTCGAGACCGCACTACCCTTACGCCGCTCGGCCGACCGGTTGCAGTCTCCCTTGCTGACCCCTCTGGAGGTCCTGTCCTGTCTCACTTCTCCACTGTCCTCCCGTGTCCGGCTGCCCCTTCGGGCACCCTGTCGGGTCTGTACCTTCCCTCGTTCTCCACGAACTTGGTGAGTGGAGCGGACCTGCAGGATGGGGGTGTTCACCAGTTCACTCCTGCGAGTCAGCGGGTGACCCACTGCACGGAGGCACGCACAGGCCGACACCTGGCCACGTTCTCGCGTCGGCCGGGGTCGAGTCTCTACACCCTGACCGTTGAGTCTCCTCCTGTCCCTGCGTCTGGTCAGGTGGCTGCGTCGGGTCAGGTACTTGCTGCTGCGTCCCGGTCAGGTCCTGAGTCTGCCCCCTGTTCTTGTCGCCTCCTGTCTCACGAGACTCTCCTGTGGCACCACCGTCTTGGCCACCCCTCCTTGCCCCGTCTTCGGAGCATGGCTTCCCGTGTCCTTGTCTCTGGTCTTCCCCAGTCTCTCCCTCCTCTCCCCTCCGGGCCAGGACCTTCCTGTGTCCCCTGTGTCGAGGGTCGCCTCCGGGCTACTCCTCACTCCTCCCACTTCCCCCCGACAGAGGCTCCCCTGCAGACGCTTCACATGGATGTGTGGGGCCCAGCCCCCGTCCGTGGGCAGGGTTACGAGCGCTACTTCCTGTTGGTGGTTGACGACTACTCGCGTTACACCACAGTCCTCCCCTTGCGCAGCAAGGGTGCGGTCACTGAGGTGCTGATCGACTGGATCCGCGAGGCTCGTCTCCAGCTCAGGAAGAGCTTCGGCTCGGACTTTCCTGTTCTGCGTCTGCACTCGGACAGAGGCGGAGAGTTCTCTTCTCGCCTTCTGCGGGACTACTGTCGTGCACGGGGGATCCGCCAGACCTTCACGCTTCCGGACTCACCACAGCAAAATGGGATTGCTGAGCGCCGCATTGGCATGGTCATGGATGTCGCTCGTACGTCCATGATGCATGCGGCTGCCCCCCATTTTCTGTGGCCGTTTGCAGTGAGGTACGCGGCGCATCAGCTCCACCTTCACCCCCGGGTCTCTCGGCCTTCGATGTCCCCAGCCTTGCTGTTGACGGGGAAGGTTGGCGATGCGTCTGTGTTCCGTGTCTGGGGATCTCGGGCGTTTGTCCGCGACTTGTCTGCGGACAAGCTGTCCCCTCGTGCTGCTCCCTGTGTCTTCCTTGGCTTCCCCACTGACGCCCCAGGGTGGCAGTTTTACCACCCCTCCTCTCGTCGTGTTCTGTCCTCCCAGGACGTCACGTTCGACGAGTCAGTCCCCTTCTACCGTCTCTTCCCCTACCGCACTCCTTCCCTCCCCCCTCCCCCGGACTTCCTTGTGCCGGTTCCCCCCCCGGTAGACCCCCTCCCCCCTCAGGTTCCTGCCCCCTCAGGTGTGTCCCAGGTAGACGCCGTTGACCCGGTCGAGGTTACTGGTGACTCTGGTGCTGCTGCGGGTGCTGAGCCTGGGGGTGCTGACTCTGGGGGTGCTGTGCGCGGGGGTGCTGAGCCTGGGGGTGCTACTGCTGGGGGTGCTGGGCCTGAGGGTGCTACTGCGGAGGGTGCGGAGCCTGGGGGTGCTGAGTCGGGGGGTGCTGTGCCTGGGGGTGCGGGGTCTGGGGGTGCTGGGTCGGGAGCTACTGAGCCTGGAGGTGCTGAGCTGGGAGCTGCTGAGCCTGGGGGTGCTGCGTCTGGAGCTGCTGAGCCTGGGGTTTCTCCTGCTGCTGCGTCTCGCCGGGAGCCCCTCTCTCCACAGGAGCTGCGCGAGTGGTTCGCTCGCAGCTGGAGGCGTGCTGCTGAGTCTGGAGGTGCTGCTGGAGCTGGAGCTGGAGCTTCTTCGACCGTCGTGGGTGCGGGTGCTGCCGGTCCCGGAGCTGCTGGACCTGCGGGTCCTCCTGGAGCTGGAGTCGCTGAGGGTGCTGGTGCAGACCCTGCTGCGTCTGGAGCTGCCGCGCGGCCTCGGCCGTACTTCGTTCCGCTCTTGCAGCAGGTTCTTGGTCTTTCTCCTCCGGTAGAGGGTCCACCGCCTGTCCAGTCGCAGTCCCTGCTGGAGCCTTCCTCTCCACTGCCTGCTCCCTCTCCTTACACTGGTCCTACTGGAGGTCTTGCTGAGCGTCGTGAGCCTGCGTCTCGTCCCGCGTCGCCTGTTCGTTCTGCTCGCGCTAGTGGTCGCAGTTCGCGTCAGCGTCCTCCTCCTGTCCCTGGCACACACCGGATGTCTTTGCGTCCGTCCACTGCTCCTCTGCGTGCCCCTTTGCCTTCTCCTCCTTAGTCCTCTCTTCCTGCGCTTGCCGACCCTGAGTCGGACTCTCTTCGTGCTGCCAGTCCTACTGTCACGCGTCTGCTTGCTACTGTCGTCACTGACCCCTCTTTTGAGTCCACTGCTGCGTCTGCTCTAGTCGCTGAGCTCGTCGACTTTGCTGCTCGCTGTCGTCTCGACTACGCTGCTAGTCTTGTTGCTGAGTCTGCGTCTGTCTGTCCTCCGTCCGTCGGGGGTGAGTGTGCTCTTAGCACGGACGTCCTAGAGGACAGGCAGGAGGAGTTACAGTGTCTAGCGGCTGCTTCACCTCATCTCGCGTCTGTACTGCTTGCCCCTGAGGGAGACCCGGATGCACTAGACATCCCGACTCCGCGTTCTTACGCGGAGGCCGTAGAGGGTCCCTACTCCTCTCAGTGGCAGGCAGCTATGGATGCAGAGATGGCTTCCTGGAAGTCCACAGGCACCTACGTTGACGCGGTTCCCCCTCCTGGGGCGAACATCGTCAGTGGCATGTGGATCTTCAGGGTGAAGCGGCCGCCGGGCTCTCCACCTGTCTTCAAGGCACGGTACGTTGCTCGTGGCTTCAGTCAGCGGCAGGGAGTTGACTACTTTCAGACCTTCTCTCCCACCCCGAAGATGACTACTCTTCAGGTGCTGCTGCACATAGCCGCTCAGCGCGACTACGAGCTTCACTCTCTCGACTTCAGCACTGCGTTCTTGCAGGGTAGCCTGCACGAGGAGATCTGGCTTCGCCGTCCACCTGGCTTTACTGGGACTTTCCCTCCTGGCACCCAGTGGAGCCTCCGACGGCCAGTCTACGGTCTCCGCCAGGCACCGCGTGAGTGGCACGACACACTGAGGACTACGCTTGCGGCTCTTGGGTTTGCTCCTTCTACTGCTGACCCGTCGCTGTTTCTTCGCACCGACACTTCCCTGCCGCCGTTCTACATCCTCGTGTACGTCGACGACTTGGTCTTTGCCACAGCAGACACTGCTGGACTCGCCTACGTGAAGTCCGAGCTGCTGAAGAGACACACGTGCACAGACCTGGGTGAACTGCGCAGCTACCTTGGCTTGCAGATCACTCGGGACAGAGCACGCCGCACCATTACCTTGACTCAGTCACACATGGTGCAGCAGGTCCTTCAGCGCTTCGGCTTCACGTACTCCTCGCCTCAGGCCACTCCTCTGCCTACTCGCCACTCACTCTCAGCTCTGCCTTCGGATGAGTCCGTAGAGTCGAGTGGTCCGTATGGAGAGCTTGTTGGCTGCCTCATGTACCTGATGACCTGCACACGACCTGACCTTGCATACCCTCTGAGCATTCTTGCACGCTATGTTGCTCCTGGGAGACACAGACCGGAGCACGTGGCTGCAGCGAAGAGGGTATTGCGCTACCTGTGCAGTACGTCGGGCATGGGGCTAGTGCTTGGAGGGCGGAGTCCAGTGGTCCTTACCGGCAACGCAGACGCTTCTTGGGCTGACGACCAGGCTACGCAGCGGTCGTCACAGGGTTACACCTTCAGCCTTGGTTCCGGCTCTGTCTCGTGGCGGTCTACTCGCTCGTCTTCGGTTCTCGGCTCCAGTTGTGAGGCTGAGATCTACGCCGGGGCCATGGCTGCACAGGAGCTTCGCTGGCTCACCTACCTGCTGACTGACCTTGGAGAGCCGCCTCGTTCTCCTCCAGTGCTGTACGTAGACAACAAGGCTATGCTGGCCTTGTGTTGAGAGCAGCGCTTGGAGCACAGAACGAAGCACATTGCTCTCCGCTACTTCCTTGCTCGTGAGCTGCAGCAGCGTGGTCAGTTGCGACTTGCGTACGTGGCCTCTGAGGCCAACACTGCTGATGTGTTCACCAAGGCACTCGCGCCTTGTGACCATCAGCGCTTTTGCACCCAGTTGGGTCTTGTGCCTGTCTTGCCTCACTTGCTCTCCTCTTGACTTCACTTGTACTGTGACATATATATATGCCTGCTCTTGTTTGTCTAGTTTTATATATATGTCTGTACTCCTGCATGTGAACTGGCCTCTGGCCCTACTCTTGTGCTCGGACTGTGTGGTGACTTTGTGATCCACCCTGAGCTTGCTTTGCTTTGCTTGACTGGTCTTGTGACCCCTTGTTCTCCCCCACTTTGCCTATGGGGGTGTGTCAGATTTATATGACATAGTTGCTGTAGGCTATAGTGGGGTAGCACATATGGGGTACAGGGTTTCTAGGGTTGTATTTGTACCCAATCTTTCCTTAGTCATTCCATTCCTGCTTACTCATTTCACATGGCCCTCATCGCCCAGCACATCTTTCCGTGGGCGGAAGCGGAACTGGCCAAGGTGAGCATTTCGGACGGCAAAAACGCCGACAGCCCGCCAACCATTTCCACGACGACATTCTACCGACGGCTGATTGTGTTTGTGTTTGTGTTCGACTCGCAGGCGGTAAGGTGCGCATCCGCGAGAGAGCCCAACACGGCCGGGGTGCACTTCCTGCAATCGCTCATCGAGTTCGGCCGCCGAATCGTTGCCGAGGATCTTGCGTGCATGCTGATGCGCGAACCGTGGCACCCGTACGTCCAGAGTTCCAAGCTCTGCCGCGACCCCGACTTCCAGAAATGGGCCAAGGACGTCAACCGGGTGGACCTCGAAACCATCGCGACGCGCAGTACTCCGAGCGAGAACCCCCAAGAGGTACGGCGTGCGCGTTTCGGCGACCTGTAAAACAAGTCGTCCTGCCACATTGCCTCACCTTTTGCCGACCATCCCCCTTGGATCGCAGGAATTCAGCGCGCGAGTTGACGCCGAATATCAGGTCGACCAGCTCACCATGATGCTGCACCGCCAGAGGGAGGATGCCGCGATCGAGAAGCTTGAAATGCAGAAGAAGTTGGAGGAGAAGGACGCGGAGATCGCGAAGTTGATGAACGCTCTCAAGCTGGCCGGGGCACGGCCGACGCCGACTGCGCCGGCACCGTCAAGGCCGATGACCGCCGCCGAGAAGGCGGCGTCCGTCAAGATCGAGAAGGAACAGAACGATGACCTGACGTACGAGGTCAACGTCGTGCATCCCTGGCGCACATCCAAGACGGTCGAGGCTGTATGGCGCTGGTGGAACAACCCGTCCAACTTCGACTCGCGTCCGTTGCGCGAACGTTACGACGAGCACAGATTCCTCGTCAGACACACGCGCATGATCTGCAAGGTCGAAAAGGGCGACAAACCCGCCGCGTCGGCGAAGTCGGCGAAGAGCTCTCGTCCCACGACCGAGGTGGGTGAGACGGGGAAAAACGATGCGCTGCAGCACTGCGCTCGCCGGATGAGGCGGATCATGGAAGCGGTGCACGACTTGCGGCGGAGCGACGACGCCGCTGACACCGCCGCCGTCATCAAGCTACTCGACAACCTGGGGCGAACGGGGCTTTCCACTTTCAGCGACGCGCTCTTGGTCCTCCGTGCAACCCCGCCCATCAAGGTCCCCACCACAGCCGACGGAAAGTCGGTCGGCATCAAGGGTCTGGACAAGCCGCTGGCGAGGAAGCTCGCCGTTGCGTGGGGCGTGGTCACGGCGGGCTACATGGACGCTGACTGGGGAAAGAGGCTCTTCGGCGACTTGTGGGATGAGCAGGCCAATAAGGCCGGCTTGGAGGCCGAGGCGACGGCGGGAGCCATCGGCGCAGGGAAGCGCAAGAGGGCGGGCTGAGGGTACTGCGTCTGGGTCCGACTTGTGCTGCTGGCTGGGCGTGGTGTGACTGAGGGTGGGTTGAGGGCGGGCCGAGGGCGGGCTGAGGGCGGGCTGAGAGTGGGCTGGGGGTGTGCTGAGCGTGTCCGACCTGTTCTAGTGATCCTATATGGTTTTCTTTTACTGCCAACGTTGTTTCGACTTGTAAATTAGTAGAAGTTTGTCTCTTGTTCATGCATCAAACCGACTCCACACCACAAAACCTACTTCACAACGTTTCTGAAAAACTACCGACGAACAAGTTCAGCATCCCTAAGCCGGAGAGGCACAACAAAACAACAAAACAGCACCCGAAACCGGACACGTCGACCATGTCACGAGCGGTCGGGCCAGCGTTCGTAGGTCTTCGTCAGAAAGCCTGCAGCGTTTGCACCCACGCCGACCATGCTACGAGCAGGCGGGCCAGCCTTCGTCGACCTAGGCGTCGGCGACCTGCTTCCCTTTGTGCTGCTGCCCCCTCGCCCCCCTGTCCCGAATGATAATCTTCATCTGGGGGTCGATAGGCAAATCGACGCCGCGAGCCTTGAGCTTCGGGCCTCCGACATTGCAGTCCCCCCAGAAGGCGAGGTTCTCTATCATGACACGGGCGATCAGCTCGTCGTGCTCGCGCTCCTCTCCGACCTCAGGCAGCGACCTCACCATAGCCGCCTGCAGGTCCTTCATCACCGTTTCGGCGACCTCCCCTACGACGACCACCCGGGAGGCCGCCCGCTGAAGCACCGCCTCGATGACGGTCCGACACCGACTCGCGAACTCGTTGGACGCTCCGCGCATGGTCGCTGCCGCCCCCCCTTCGCCGGCCGCTACTTCCGCCGTGGCATTGGTCTCCGAAAAACACCACACCGCGGCTGCAGTACCGGCGAGGATCTCGGACAACCGCTCCGACCCGACGCCCGGAATGGGCGTCACTTTCGCGGCCACCGGTGCGAAGGCGGCACACATCGAAACGCGTGCGATCATGTCGCTCGCCACCTTCTTCTTCGCGGCCTTCTCGGGCTCGGTCGACTCCGGAAGGTCGCCGAACCACACCGCCGGGCGAAGAGCCAACATGAGAGCTGCGCGGTCGGCTCCGGTTATCCTGTTGTATTCCGCGACCACCTGTTGGAACCTGCGAAACACAGCAGGAATACCCACCGTCACCGACCGCCCCACGCGAACCGACCGAAACGAGCACCAAATTGAGCATTCGCCAAGCTTACCTGTCGCGGAAGACGTTCGCCCCTCGGCTCCACATGACCATCCACATGCCCCCCGGAATCAATCGCTCCACATTCCAGTCCGCCTTATACTGCGCCATCACTTCCTCCTTGACCCCACCGAACTCCTCGAGAACCACGTCGCTGACGAAGCCGTCGAACGACGAAACGGCGACAGCGATGCAGTAGGCGGCCTCGGACTTGTCCATCGACCGGCAGATGTAACGGCTCTTCTTCCCAAACTTCATCTCCGAGACGGCCAGCCCATTTGAAGGGTCAACGCAGACGCCTGAACCCTTCCGACCCTGCGCGGCCGCTTTGGACGTCCCCTTGGAAGAGCCGACCTTCGCCGGGCCGCCCTTCGCCTTGTCCTTGCCCTTGCGCTTCTGCTTCCCATCGCCGACCTCACCGGTTGTGGCCGGGGGGGATTTGGCGCCAGCCGCGCTATGGTCCTCCGCAGGAGCAGTCGAGGCGGCTGGTGCACCCTGTTGCGCTCCCACGGTGGGAGCTGCTGCTTGTAGTTTTTCCCGCATGACCTCAATTTCCGGGTCCGGCATCACGATGCTGGCGAGGATCTCTTCGTCCACCCCGCCGGCCTCTTCCGCCGCTCTCCACACAGCCGCCTCCACCGTTGAGCCACTCGGCCCTGCAGTCGCCGCCGCGACGTTCGCTGCCTCTGCTCCTTGGTCGACCGCCTGGTTGCTGTGAGTCGGAGGAATTACCGGGGTTTTCTGACCCTGATCCTCGAGCCATTTCAGATACTCGTCGAACGATGGCTTTTGACGGACTAGAGCCTCGACCGCCCGAGACTCAACAGCCGTTGGGATCGGGATCGGTTCCGCGGCGACCATGGCCCCATGAACGGGTAAGCTGGCCGCACCGGCAGCCTGCTGGACATGCTGTCCGACCACCGCTGCTGGGCGCAAGAGCTCGTCGACCAGCGCCGTGGCGCCAGCCGGACTCGTCGCGGTGGGGGGATGCTGGCCCGTACCTGGCGGCCCGCCCTGCTGTCCGACCACCGCTGCTTGGCGCAAGAGCTCGTCTACCAGCGCCGTGACGCCAGCCGGACGCGCGTCTTGTGCGGTCGGCGTGCTCGTCGACGGGTGAAGATGCTGGCCCGCACCGGGCGGCCCGCCCTGCTGTCCGACAACCGCTGCGGGGCGCAGGAGGTCGTCGGGCAGCTGCGCTGTGACGCCGGTCGGTCGCGCAGTCGGCGTACTCGTCGAGGGTTGAACATGCTGGACCGCAACGGGCTCCCCGCGCGCCTGGGCGACCACCGCTGCGACGTGCATGTCGTCTGCCATCTGGGCCGTGCCGCCGCTCGGTCGAGCGCCTTGTGCAGTCGCCGGACTGGCCTCGGGGTGTGGATGCTGTTCCGCCGTTGGCTGCCAGCCCTGCTTCGCGACCACGGATGCCTCTCCCATGAGCTCGTCGGCCAGACTCACCTGGTCGCAGCTCGGTGGCGCGTCGTGTGCGCTCGGCGGATCGGTCGGGGCCTGTGGCTGCTTGTCCCCCACGGGCTGCCCACCGGTCTTCCCGACCACCGACTGAGGATCCTGGAGCGCGACGTCGACCTGTCGAAAATCTTCGCTCGGTCGTGCGCCAAGTCCATCTTTCAGCAAGCCGTGGACGCCGGGGATACGAACATACGGAGGGGCAGGAGGATCCACGCCCACACCGCGTTTCACCGCAGGTCCTCTGCTTCGCTTAGAGCCGCTCGTCTGGTCGCCGGTCAGGGATTTTTCGTCGGCGACCCTTTTCCCCGACTGCCTTGGGGCCGGCCCACTCTCCTCGGCGGTTGCGCGACCGCCGTGCATCACCGACGCGAGAGCAGTTGGGAGGAGGCTAAACCCGGCGGTGCCAATGCCCTGTTGGGTCGCGGAGGTGACCGCCTTCACCAGGTCGTCCCTAAGCTCTTGGACGACCTTCGCAGTCACGGGAGCGGCGATCCGCTGCGCCTCGCCCTCCATGGCGGCCTTCACCTCGGCAGACACGACTGTTTTGATCTTCTGGCCAAGAGCATCTGCCACACCTCGAAGCAGCAGGAGGTCGTCCTCCCGTCGCCTACCCTGTGCAGCAGTAGCCGTCAAGTGCAGGGCCTGCACGGTGGGCAGCCACTGCGTGTTCATGAATTCTAAGGTGGAGCCGCGATAGCTCACCGCCTCCTGCACGACCGCCCTCATAGCGTCCACCGCCGTTTGGATGCTCCTCCCCGACGTCTGCTCGAGATGGGTCACGCCCTCGGCGACTGTAGTGAGCTTGTTCACGGCCGAGGTGACCACGCCGTACATCGTGTCGTTCCGGGCCGTCTGGAACTCCAGCCTCTTTTCCGCCACCAGCTTCTCCTCCCTCAGCTTCTTGATCTCCCTCTCCGCCGCCTTCAGACGCTCGATAGCCGCCTTTGACGCCATCCTAGTCGGGGTCGAGCCACTGCTGCCCCGGGCCTTCTTGCCCAAATTGGGTCCGCTGCCGCCGCTCTTATCCGCAACCTTCTCACCGGCGAACTGTACAGCTTCCTCTTCGCCGGTGACAGCCACGTCGTCCTCCTCACGCTCCACGTCCTCCTCTTCTTCCGAGCCCCGTCGTGCTCCCCGCCCCCCTCGACGTCCTCCCTCTCGTGCTCCTCCTCCCCACCCAGAGCGATGGCGGTTCCGACGCCACGGGCCACGGTCGACGCCGCCTCCCCTTCGTTCGACGCGGCCTTCTCCGCGTGGTGCAGCAGCTCCAGTCGGAGCGCCTTCAAGCCGACCATCTTCGGGTTCTCGACGATGAGCGGATCGTAGCTGCGATGCACGTCGTCCAGATGCTCCAACGACCACGCGAACGCGTTGACCGCCAACAGCCCCGTGCCGGCGACCTCCTCCTTGAGGATGTCGGGCAATTTCTGCATCAACATCCGAAGCACATGGCGCCGACGAAAAGGGTGAGTCGACGCCTGGACGACGATAGCCCAGGCGACAAGGCGACATGGACGTTGGAAACTCACATCACGGATGGGGGCGGCAAGACTCTCCAGACGTTCGGAGAGGACTTTGGCGGAAGGAGGCGCAGCCGTCCACTGCCTTCCCCCACGGTTCAACTCCGCCTTCACGCATTCGCCGAAAAACCTGCGCTACGAGACGGAAAATAGCCATCAGACAAGGCGGCATGAACGCCGTTAAGGAGCGGCGCGACTAGCCGTCGACGTTGTCCCACCTCAGAACGTTGGCTGCCTCCTCCTCGTGCCGCTTGGAGGAGGTTTTGGGGTCGAGGTGGCGGTAGAACGTCCCGATCTCCTCCTCGTCGGGCAAAAGCAGGTCGCCAGGGCGCACAACAAGCAGGACGCTGCAGTGCCTGCCGGGAAGAGGTCCGCCACTGCCCACACAAGCACGACGGAGACATTCAGGGTTCTGTCCGGGAACAACAAGCAACGCGGTCGGCGTGGATCAAACCTCACGGGCGCGGAACACTCACCTGGTGCACAGGGGGATGGCGAGGGCTTCGAAGCCGAAGGCCGACCCGAAAATCAGATGGTCCGCCTTCGACGCCGTCCTGGCAGCGCGAAGACTCGCACCGCGGATCAGGATCATCCTGTCGCCTTTTCCCAGACGATCGAGCTCGTACCTGGGACAACCGGGGGCGAAAAGGCGGGAGCGAAACACTTGCGCGGTGAGCTACAATCCATGCCGGGCGCCGGGGTAAAGCGCGGACAGCAAGACAAGCGGACTCGGACCAAGGTTTCGCACGACGGCTATGTCGCCGGCAGCATGACGGACGTCACCGACG